AATAAATAAATAAATAAATAAATAAATAAATAAATAATAATATATATATATATATATATATATATATATATATATATATATCGAAGAGACTTATTTCTACTTTTATATTTGCCTTTTTAGTCAATCAAAGAATTAGAACAAGAGATGTTGAATGGACAAAGTGCTCAGGGTCCTTTGACAGCAGAAGAAGTTTATCTTATGTTGAAGAAGCACAACATGGTTTCAAGGTAATGATTCCTTAATAGGTTAACACTAGTAAAGTACAGTTCGGTTTACAGAGATACTTGCATGAATTTCTGTAACTACAAGAGTCACCGCTTTTTTGTCATTAGAAAGAGTTTAAAACTGATACATAAAGAAAAGTAGAAAAGTCCTTCCTGACTAAAAATTCAAGGCAATTCTAGTATATTGTCGGGAAAGTTCTTGGAGAATTCTCTCAGCTGCACTGTCAGGAAATGAAATCGTTCTAAAGTGAGTTAGATAACTTAACTCTTAAGGATATGGAACTTGTGGGAATCCTCAATTATTGCTAATATTTATTTGAAATTTCCATGAATGTTTTGTGTTTACGTTTGTTTCTTTTCAGATTTCCACTGTTCTCAGCTGTGCACCAAATATGCCAGGGGCAGATTTCCCCAGATCATTTGGTAGCTCACCTTCGTGAATCCCAAGGCTCGAATTGAGAAACCAGCGGATTTTTGAAACATTTTGTTTGTTGTCTCTGTGGTTGGAGAAAAAATTAAGCTCAGTGAATCTAGTTTTTTTTTATCTTGGACCTCCATATTTTACTGATGCGGTTACCATCACTTACACCCACTATTTGTATACTTTCCAGAAATTATTTAACAGTTTTATTAATCTCTTCAGTAGCTCCGTCCTTTGGCTTCATAGGAATCTATCCATTTTTACTGGAGTTTCAAGAACAAAAGACATCTTTTTAAGGTTGCGCTTTTTTCAGAAACCGCTTCTTCTCACAAGAAATAGTTAAATCAATGGTTAGAAAAGTTTTATCACTTCATTAATCCTATTTTTTCTCTTATGACATCCTTGTGCATACCTCTTATAAAGTCTCCAGGTTCGGTTTTTCGACCTCCCGGAATAGTAACATCCAAAACTATGTAACATTTCTCTGTCCTATGTAAAGTGAAACCATTGATAATTTTTATGAAAAAGTGGTATGACCATGGAGAGACACGTCAAGAGGTTTTGCGTTAATTTGTAATTCCAACATTTTTTTAAACCGTTTACTGCGTTTCTTTTTTAAAGAAACTGAGGAATCGAATACTCTAGCCGCTTTATTACTAGTAATAACAACTTTGAATTTGGATGTTGGTGAAAAGCTTTCATTTTTGTATAAAAAAGTAAGAGCTGGTTGCAACACAGTTGAAAAGATTTTGCAAATATCAGAGCAGTTTTCTGGATAATTATTGCAATGCCTCTTTCTTGCATCAGGTTACTAGCTTGTCTTTTTATCTATCTTATTGATAATGGAATGCATGAATTAGTTTTGAGCTGTGTAACTAGTGATGAACCATATGACAATGCTTTTTGGCTAAAAATTTGAATGCTTTATGAACTTATTGTTTGGTTAAATGCAAATAAGTTATTTCGCCATTTCATTTCAAATTTTATGACATTTGCAGTAATTAAAAACCATCATGAAAAGACCAAATACTGGAATAAATTTAAAATCATAAATTATTAACAAGGATTTCTCCTTGTTAATAATTAGGTAGGGATACCACGTGACAAGACATTTCTTGCTTTTCAAAACTCATCTGTTCAGTACGACTTATCCTTATTAGGTAAAGAAAATATTTCATACAGTGTTGACATCAACTGGATGAATTGCATTGCGCAGAAGTTTTGTATTACTTCCAGGTGAAATCATCTTAGAAAATCATTACTTTGGCTGTTTCAAATTCAGCGATGTTCCTTTCATACCCGAAACTTGGTAGTATTCGTTGTTCGGAGAGGTTGGAGAAGAACTGAAACATAATCTATTGCAGAAAATAATGGCAGAAGTTCGGGAAAAGCAAAGTTTAAACTCATCTTACTTAAGTGTATGAAGAGCGCAAATATCTTAATTATTGCCGTATCAAGAAGTCAGTAATATGCTTGGCGATGCAATAAGTCAGGATGGCTTGAGTTAGACCGGATTCTAACGGTCCTAAATGAGATGTACTAAAGTAAATTAGATTTACTGTTGGAACATTGATGAAGGGATGGTACCATCGATATAAGTATACGTTGTATGCATAAAGTAATCTTTACTGTATTTTCAGAAGGTAAGTGAAGCGTGGTGAAGTGTTGAATGGTGGGGAAATCGAACAATGCTCCCGGCACATACTCATATCAGATTACAAATTGCAGTTTAATTTAGCATGAGCATATATCGGAAGCGTTGTTTGTTAAATAAGGGAAGAAGCGAGATCTCAAATCTATGGTGACTACTAAATTTGAATTTTCATCAATTGTTACGATCAAAAGTTTTCATTCAATTGGATTGAGGATTATGATGAATTCATGTTTCATTTGCAATCTTTTCGGCTTATTTACAAATTAAATTCATCTCACTTATCTATTCTTTATATGCATGTCTTATTCCAAATCTACTACTACCTTCGTCAACTGTCTTGTCTTACTTTCACTTCCGGAAAATGCACACCAACATATGCCATTCCTACTATTACTGTCATTTTATTCCCCTTCAGCATTAGCAGTGATGGGCAATTTTAACAACATTTAATTTTTATCTAATGATTTGGAAAACTTAAGTTGGACTTTCTTTCTTATTCATTCGTACTGTCGTCTTTTGCTTACAATATTAGTGTTAGTCGGGTTGTGCCATATCTTAGCCCACATTCTTTATTTTATCAAGATGATGCTCTATTTTCAGGAGATGAATGTTTTGAAAGACCGTACAAGAGGACTCCATTTTAACTTTTTATAGTTTTGCACAATATTTATTATAGTTTACTATGCTAGGAAGTGATTACTTATTGTAAGCGAAAAAATTGTTCTGTTAGTGGTAATTGTGAATTGTGCTTATAGCACTGTGATCGTAGTTTTAAATGATAGTATTGTTTTCTTTTTCTTTTGCAATGGCCACGAGAAAACAGAATATAATTGATGAACCGGTCGGTTCATTGATATATATTCGTTTGTGAAGACTAACAAATATTTCTCTTCCACTACTGCTCACACAATGAAATGTGGAAAAGTTAAAATGATGGTAAGACACAAGTGAGCTCCGCTCACATGTCGTATGCCTAACGGCTACTGATTTATGGTTCTTACTATGTCAGATAGGTACATTCATTACTAATTATGGCTCCTACTCATCTTTCATCTCTTTCTTTCTCCACAATCTCTTCTTTTACCTTCCAGTTTTTTACTATAAGTACTTCTAAAGTTATTGCTATTACTTCTAGAAAATGTTATTGTATGCAGTAAATTATTCTTTTTTAAACTTCTTAAACGGGTTATACTTTAATGGTTTATATTGTTATCACTAGCTCTGTTGATACTGATTCAATTTTGCTCTCTCATCAAGTCCTGGATACTTTGTCGCTCCATACAAATTGCGGCTTTTAAATATTACAAGTATGATTGAAATATGTCCCGAAAATTACACTAAGTTTTTTTTTGTCGCATAAACCTAGTTGTAACAAATCACTTCCAATTCTTTCAAGGAAACAGTTATAAAATAAATTCCGAAAAAATATAAAAATTACCATTACCCAAATCGTAACGACCCTTAAATAATTTCAGTGCTAGATCAAATAAATATTTAAAAAGCAAATTCAGACTCACGAATTGATTGCATGGATTAAATTAAAATTACTATAATGATATTGTCATCGCTACTAATTGCTTCTATCAGAAGACTGATTTCATATATCATTGAATCGAGGCTGCTATTTAATTCTAAAGAAACTGACAAACTTTGGATATTCAGTCATTCTCTCCTACGTTAGAATATCAGTATTATTTGATTCATTCATATGAGACCAACATTTTAGAAATTGGTGAAAAATCAATCTTGCGTATCAATGAATTTCATTTTTGTTAAATTATTCAACTGGATATGAACGGGCGAATTGTACGTTTTATCAGTGTATGTCAACTCAAATCCTTTAATACTAATGTTTTGGTAAGCTTTTCAAACTGTCAAAACTCAAAAAGCGATAGATGTCAAATTTATGTCTTCCATGACGAAATCTATTTCAAAAGATTCGCGAAAATTATTTGAAGAAAGCAAGAAGTCTCATGAAAGAATAACAGGAACTTATTAAGGAGGTATCTACAGAATATTTTTATTCAAATCCGCTTGTTTTATGCAATCTGATTGTACCACCATAAATCGTTTCCAGTATAACAGTAAACATGTAAAACACTTCCAAAGAGTATCGTAGTTTGACTTTTTTGATTAATTTTTTTTTTAATTTTTCTTGGAAAATTATTATAGGTGACCAAGTTGTTGGCCCACTACTGATAGTAGTTTTAATAACAATGAGAACTTTTCTATGACTTAATTGTGTTTGTCGCATACGATAAGAAGTAGTTTTAAAAGTGACCACCACTGCTATCTGTGTCTTTTATGACCTCGACGAAAATAGCTGGATCCAATACCGTTTTATCGTTGTATAGATAATACATCTTTCGATATAAGAAACATATTAAATTCTTCAAGACTTAATTATACATGAAGAAATAGCTCAGCTTTTCTTTCAGAAATGCGACAATACACGTCTAAGATATATATATATATATATATATATATTTCACTTAGAAATTTCTAATTTTCGAGACACTTGAATTCCTTTTGCTGAAACTTTAACGATGAGCTAAAAAAATATGATTGGACATTGCAGGATACAAAAGGTATCGATGAGTTACCAAACTTTCTTTTCGAGGTTTTTTTTCTATAAGGGAGCTGTTCTCGAAGTTAATCAAGTAATAATTTGTACTGTTTTACCATATGGGATGTTGTAAAAATTGCCAGAATTTGGATATTATTTTTATTGATTTATAAATTCAATTGCGAATCGAATGGCGCAGTATTTTGTTCTAAAAATTCTAAGGGGAGACAGACGCAGACTGCTATCAGTTCCGTACATTGGTATAATAATAATTTGTTATTACCAGCAAATGCTCTTGGACTATGTAACCGATTGGTCAATTATCTCGATTTACATGGTTGGATGAATGATTTACCTAGCTTTACCTAGATAGGGTTCATAGTACTAATTATCGTCATTCTGTCATAATCGAGGGGAAGGACATTGTCTTGACTAATTCTGCCGATACGGGGAGAGGGAAGAAGGATGGGATGCATGGAAGGGTTTACAAGAGGCTCAAATAGAGCTCAGGGTAGAAATTGTAGTTGGAAACTTCTCCGACAAGATGTACAAAGAGGGCAGGGTTGCAGAAGAGAAAGACGGTGCGCAAAGGGTATTATGGACAAGAGTTTTGTATAATTCAGTGTACAAACAAAGGTCACCGGCAAGCACAGCATCACAGCCATCATCATCACTATCACCACTGGCACCTGTGATACCAGTAGCAATACCAAAGATACATCGTGCTGCAGTTCCTGTCATTCTAACTATGTTCCTGTACCCAAGGTGTTACTATGAGTATTTCAATTCTGTTGACCCAAGATCGGAAGTGTCTTCTACCATTCTTGAAGATCTTATCTATTATCCATGTTACCGGATATTATCCAGTTTTTAAATAAGATTGGTATCATTGTTATGTATCCATAATGAAGAACTTTGTCTAGCAAACCAGTCCTCACCAAAGTGTCATTCTGAAAATTCCTCTTTTGGTATTCGATTTTACTGCTCATATACTTACAATAATAACTATCTCCTTGTCGCAAAGAATTCTTCGCATCTGTAGGTGAAAACATCGTCTATTCAAGATTTTGTCATAGCTACACAAATCCCAAGTTGCAAAAATTTTTACTTGCATATAATTATGCCTACTGATTGCTTCATCCGGAATTCCTTCGTAATCTTTAAACTCTGCATGATGCATGATATCTGAGAATTCCGGATCCATTGTATTGCACTATCGACGATTCTTGTGACCAGAAGTAACACTTATCACATTATTTTAAAGAGTAAATCAAACTCCATTGTTTTAGAAATTAAACTTTTTTGCTGAGGTTTATACCCAAAATTACCAGTCTCTGGATTAAGCCTGATGGATGTATTGTATGGCAGTTACATATCACTTGAGAGCTGTTTGAAATTAGTTTAATATTAATGACCGTAACATCTAATCTTGCTGCGCTTCAGCATCATTCAAAGCCTTATACGCTTTATATAGGCTTCCTGTAGTCTGCAGGGAATGAATCACATGGCACTCCCAATTCCAGTACTGCTGCTGGGCTTTTAAACTTTTTATTTAAACAAAGTTCCAATTTTCGATGCTTAAACTTGTTTATCTGATTGTCCGATTATGCCGGCTTCTTTCAGAAATACCTTCATAATGTAAAGCATATGCCGCCTGACAAGGAATGACAGGTGTAACACTATTTCAGTCCACCATGATATATTTACGTTAGCAACGTTAAGAGTACTCGAAGAAATGGGGCTTATGTAATTATCATGTGCTTATGAAGCCTAATAGAAATTTGAAAGAAAAATTGGTACCAAAGGTACTGACATGGCAAAGGTATCACTGATTGCGTCCAACTCACTCTTTCCTCTTTGTTATGCTTTTAGAATGATGACAATAAGCGCTAATCGGTGAGGACAATCAGACAATTTCAATTTTTTTTTTTTTTTAATTCATTCAACCAAGATATAGCACTGACAAAATCTCTTCATAGTGCCATCGCCAATTAAGATATTGCATCGGATACAACGAAACAGTTTACGCATACACATATATACATACGCACATGCACACATACACACATACACACATAACACAAACTACATATAACGTTGGTAATCATGCATCCTTGAAACTGATCTTGAACATCGTATCGGTAGGTACAGTTTTACACCGAGCTTCCTTGAAATGGCCAACACTTCTAACTGTCAAAGATTTTCCTTTGATCTGGTATTCGGTCCGGCTGTTAGTGGTCCTGTCAGTCTAAAAATGTTTGATTCGACATGTCTTTTGATTTCGGATAGGGTCAGAAAAATGTGTTGACGTGTTAGTTCCTGTCGCTGTTAGAATTTCCTTCAGGACATTCTGTTTTCTTCTTATTTACAGTTTCAATGCTTAAATTGAAAACAAAGCAAAACTAGTGAGTGATTACTAGTGGATATAAAACAAGAAACAGTTGATTGACTTTTTTTGATGATAATAATTCTCCAGCACAGTACTTTCTCCATATTTCTCTTTCTCCTTCTCTCTTTCTTCCTCCCTCTCTTTCAATTACACAATTAGAACTAGGTTATTCGAACATCTATACAAACAGTAAACAGTTTCATTTGTCCCAATTTTAATGTCAACATGTTTGTTTACTCCTCACTTTCATTAATATTTCTTTCTAATATATAATTGTCAGTCATTTAACTGCTTTATTGCTAATTATTGTTATGTCAAAGATATTTCAAAACTTGTAAGTTAATACTGTCAAAGATGCGATTCATGTAGTCCAATAACGCAGTTGTGTTTTGAACCTAAATCTATTAGACATCAGTTGCAAAAAAAAGCTGACAACTGCCCATTGTTTTATTGGCATGAAGCCACAGCCGATGACCACCGGTCACTCCTTAACTCGCAACAAATTTGTAGAACAATAGTGTTGAATTAACGCGGTAATGAAGATATTTGGGTCATTTCCCTTCTTCCATCAATAGCTTTCTATGATAGAAATGCAGCGTACTTTGTTTCGGCAGTAAGGAAAAAAAAATTTCCGACATTTGAGCATACATTGTATTGATCTGTCTGTCTATATAAATAAATATTAAAAGAATTTCATTACCATTCCCACAACAATCTCATAATCCATCTATTATTATCATCCTTTTTGTGTACAAACACTGAAAAATGTTCCTCTCTTCTTATCCTTAAACAATCTTTTCAGTTCTTTCTCAAAATAAAATTTTCAAAAAATTGGAAATGATGGCGATACTTTGCAATGTGAGGTAAATAAAAATGAAAGCTGAACAGAATTTTGAGGATACATTGCTGTTTATTAATATTTTCCACATTTCTATTCGGTTAACCATAGAAATTTAAATCATTCTTGTTGACTTCTTCATTCATTTTCATTGATATTTGTCAGCAACTGAGGTCAACTTATTGCTAGTACAATGGTGATATGGCGCAGAGATCTGCTGGCACAAATTATCTTTGTTATTATTTATTAATAAAAAACAATGTTCAAATATCGCAGGCGTTGGATTTTTTGCCTGTCGATATTTGTCAGAGGATGGCTTGCTTGTCTTGTGTCTCGATAACTTTGACCTTTTCTCGTTCCTTACCCTTTTCGGACCTTCAGAAAAAAAAAATTGGAAGAGACAGATATCTCGTCAGAAGAACTCTTTCGTGCTTTTCTGAATGTTACAATTTCACCTGTTTTTCGACTCTTGAAACAAGCTGCAGTGGCGATATGTCTAAATGATCCTCAAGAATGGATCATTATTTATGTTGAATCTTTCTAATGAGGTAATACATAGCTTGACTGCTCATCACCAGAGCGATTCACTATCGGATCTACTTTATAGGCGGAGTGCAGAAGGCAAATGCGAAATGCTAAGTTATCATCTGATTATGTTCCTTTGATACTGTAGATTGGTTGATTCGATGATGAACATAATGGACTTACCACTGTAGCTGAGGAACCGGCATTAAAATGAATACCAACACTCTCAGTTAGGGTGAGAGTAAATGTGTCCTTGTGCAATGATAATTCACTCATATTATAACCATTCCATTCTTGTCCCGTATAGAGGTTAACATAAAGAACAATAAATAGTTCTTATGAATGATATAATTTGATAAAATGATTAGGAGTATGTGGCGGTGGTTTGCAAAGCCGCGGGAGGAAGAAGGGGAGGGGAGGGCAAAAGAAAGTGGCCACTGGTTTGGAACGTTTCCATTGTTTGTGCCAGATAGATCGGTGGAGGTGGTAGTGGTAGGCAATGGTGGTGCGGTGCGGTGCAGTGCGGTGCGGTGCAGGCGGTGCGGTGCGCTGCATTTGCTTTGTTTCGTTTACTTTTGATAAATTGTATTTCTCCCCCTTCTCCCACCCGTACGCTATCTTTCCCATCTAAATTGCAGGAGAAAACTTTTTTTACTGATTTCTTTATTTCAATTTACATATGATGCATTCATGAAAAAAAATAAATTTGCTAGGGGAGATACATTTTGGTATACTACTATTACTACTACTACTACTACTACTACTACTACTACTACTACTACTACTACTACTACTACTACTACTACTACTACTACTACTACTACTACTACTACTACTACTACTACTACTACTACTACTACTACTACTACTACTACTACTACTACTACTACTACTACTACTACTACTACTACTACTACTACTACTACTACTACTACTACTACTACTACTACTACTACTACTACTACTACTACTACTACTACTACTACTAC